AGAGGGATTGGGGCAGGGGTGCGTTAGGATAATGCTAATCGTTTCCTGCTTAGAATGGCTAACTTGCTCATTTTTATTGGTAATGGTGGAATTTAACAGTTACTATACAGCCCCCACTTAAAAATGGTATTCATTTTTCTTGTTACGAAAGTCTTCCAAACGGGTACAATGTTCAAATGAGTTTATGTTTCACTCTCACATGAGATTCTATGTCACACAATGGTCGGCGACGAGGTTATTTTCCTCCCCTCGGAAAAAAGTCGCCCCTTGGCAGCCTAGTTAAAACCGCCTTTCGACGATTCTTGTTGGCTAAGCTCCCCTATGTGGAATGTCTTCAATATAATGCTGTCAAAAACGCTGAATTGGATCACGTCATTGCTGATGAAGAAAATCAATGTGGCGTCAATGTATCTGCATTGATAAGTAGTAAAACGGACTAGTCGCAGTGTAAAACAGGATTGAAGTCTTATTCCCTGATTTTACTTCTGGTAAGTAGCGAAGCTATTCAGTTTCCATATTTAGCAATAAACTTGTGATGGTTTTATTAAGTAAGTGTAAAACTATACATGCAAATGCTTGAAGCTATACTAACTAAACGAAGCGTCTATTCGTCTCGATTTCAATCATTCGTCTAGAGTGCTTGGGTTTTTCCACCTGGAGATATTAAAATAAGGAACAAGATTTGACATTGTTTTGAGGCACCAACACACTTTGAAGAATGTTTAGTGCACAGTGAATGTAAACTAGAAAACATAATTGCGGAGGAGGAGTCGCACAAAAGGAAAAAAAAAGCCAATATCCCATCTTGACCTTCCGCTTGCTCAATTAATGAAGGATTGATCATGAGGCCAAAAGAAATTATGACTTTTGAGAACAAGGTGGGCAATCGGAAGGAGGCAATATAAGCTCATGTCTTTCGCTTAAATAACCTGCTTACGCAGCCATAGATAATATAAATATCACCATTCAAGAGATATGACAGTTTTCCACTTTACAACCAATGACTAGTTCTCGCTACCGGGGGTACTCCCTGATAGGTATGTGCCACCCCCAAAGGGTAGGATTTTTGGGCCTTTTTGGTCTGAAAACGGGTACTCCACTTTGGCCATTTCGGTCTGGAATCGGATATAGTCTTTATGAGTTTTAGAGGGAACTACGGGAACGTATGGACGTATTTATCGTTTTAATTACTAATGAATAAGAAAAAAAAAAAAGAAAGAAATATGCGAATTCGAAATGCATTTGAAGAAATTGTTTTGCTTGCGCTCTATTCTAGGTAATGATGAAATAGTCTCTGCCTTAAGGCCAGGTCTGAAAAAGGGTGTGGACTTAAGACGTCAGTTCTGTCGGGTGTGGAAAATGACATTTCTTGTCTGAGATACGGTCAGGATTTGGATAACCGGGCGGCACACCCCTAGCCTGCGTAGCAAGCGTTTCCGTGCTGTTTCGGAGCAAAGAAAGACAGCACGTAAACGCTTGCTACTCGCGCCATTTTTCGCGCGGTCCTCGTTCGGAAACAGCACGTAAACGCTTGCTACTCGCGCCATTTTTCGCGCGGTCCTTGCTCGGAATCGAAACAGCACGTAAACGCTTGCTACGCAGGCTAGTACACCCCCACTAAGAATTCCCAGGAGTACCCCCCAGGCTCTCACATTTCCTCATATAAGACCTTGCCCTTGTCCATTAAACTGCATGTTTTTGTTTAGGACATGGAACAATCAGCAGTAACCGTTATGGCCTTGTTGATGGCGGTGTTAGTACCTCCCCCTGCACGCGGTGTGATGACATTTGACACAGGCGCCGGTACAGTGCACAAGCTAAGTTTGACTCAAGATGTCACTCTAGAAAGGGGAAGCCAAAATTTTAACAGTTTGGAATATCTCATAGTATCCAAACACCCGGAGTATCCCAACAAGCGCTCATTGGTCCAGTTTGAAGATCTTCCCAGTTCATGTCCATCATCAAATGTAATTTCAGCCAAAATGTACCTGTACTTTCAATACTC